TTAATTTTTGACTATTTTTAATTATAATTAATGACTTGATTCGTAGTTTCATAGTTATTTAGTTTCCTGACACAAAACTTGACCCAGTTTCTTCAGGCGGCTAGTGTGCAAAATGCATATGTTATTGTTGACCTCACTTTTGGTTGAGGTCTAGAAAACTTTTTTTAGTAGCCTAGGAGTAGAGGTTCTACGCAAGTACACGTATCGTTCAAGTAATACATGACTTTAATGGAGTCCCGATTATTGATCCCATAGGGAAGTGATGTAAGAAATCCCTCAAACTAAGTTCTAATCTACTACTATTAGGTCTTAGTTTGAAATATCGATTAAGGGTGTTTTTCTAACAACTACTCCTAAATACAAACCTAAATCTAAAATTAAACCTAACTAGATAAATTGATTTGGTGAATTTTGAGGTGTAAAAACTACATTTCTCTTGTGGTGGCCTAGAGAATGTGTAGGGATGGAATGCTTAGAATCTAATGTGGCCAACGAAAATAGGAGAAAAAATCTAAGTTTCCCTCTTCCGTGTGTATAACATAGCTTAGTTAACATAGGGTTAATTCCTTAAAATAAATAGATTGTCAGAGGAAACTTCTAGCTTGTCACCCTAGAGTCTTCTTCTTCTAATTGCCCTCTAATTGACTCAATCTTAGATTTAAGGTACAAAACTCTTGATCAAATTGGTTAGGAATTTAGTCTGTCACCCTAGAAACACCAATTTGCACCCATCAATGAATATCTCTCTAACATTGCACTGAATCTTAGGACAACTTTTCCTTCACCCATAAGTTCAATGTGATTCCTCCTAGTTGTTAAATCGTAGCCCTCCCTGATCTTATGGGTTTACGAAAAAAATTAACATACCAAATGGTCAGATCGATATGTAAATGAAGCAAGGGGTAAGAACCATCACATTAAAATAAGAAAAAAGAATTCCATAGCATTCAAATTTTAAAAGTTCTACTTAACACTCACAAGAGAAAAAAGCAGGAATTTCTACTCACAAAGTTTGTTTGAGATTGCAGAAAATTTCATTGAAATAAAGCAAATCTACTAGATATATGTTTACAAAAAGTACAAACTGTTTAAATTTTTTTCTCTAAATGAAATATGAAAATCCCTCTAACAAAGTCTTCTGTTGATTAATGCAATGTTAATACCATCCCTTACAACTATCTCTCAAAATCCCCTCTCGAGTCTCTCCAGCAAAAGGTACAAATCAACATTTTCTATTTTTATCTATGACCTCTCGGCCTTCCTGGAGAAGTCTAGGATTTAGAAATGTTGAAAAGTCCATTTTCCAGTGATTCATCCTCGAATATATCTCCAAAATTTGTACACAACTGCTGAAGAAATCACCATTAGACAGTTTGGGCGCCTACGCGTCGGGCCTATGCGCGAGTCTGCGGCGCCAAGGCGTCGTCTTCTCTATTTTATGGGCAAAACTGGTGCCTAGGCGCCACAGAGGCACCAGTCTGTGGCGCCTAGGCGCCATTCTACTTACAACACCCCCATTTGCTCTCGTTTGCCTCTATTTCGCTTTGTTTCAGCTCATATACGCACCTAATGTTATACTCGCAAGTTAAACATGAAAATAACATTTCGTTAAGGTGTAATTTCATTCCAAAACAAGTAATAAATGTAAATATTTTAAGCACAAAAAAAACATTAATTAATGGAATAAACCATCAGTTATAAATGAATATTAACCGATGACTATAGTACGTCAGTTGTCTTTGAACCCGCAACATGGCGAAGTTTTAACTAACACATTTTATTAGTAAGTGAAAGGAACGACAGTCGGTAATATTTTTGATAATTGATGCAATAAATTCACTTATTGGCCTTCAAAATTATTCCTATATCCCGCTTGAAATCACCTCCCTTTCGGTTTTGCCCTAATCCCTTCTCCCGACCCCGTCTTCTCCCTCACCTCTCCTTGAAACCTCGCTCGCTTGTCCCTCTTTGTTACATCCAAAACCATCGCCTTCATCCCTAAAACCCTCACAACATGGTCAAAATAGGAGCTAGCTAGGAACACAATGGCGAGATCGCGTTTTACAGTGACCAAAAACTCCTATTTTTCTCCTCCTTTTGCTAATTTGCTCCCCGAAAGGACCGAGGAAGGTAACTTGTTATCTTCATTTTCATTTTTCTTTTCACTTGCTTTAAAAATGTGTTTAGGGTTTAGGGTTTAGCAACTATGAGGTTTGTAAAATATTTTTCTGGTTTAGTTGGATTATATCTAGAGTTTTGAATTTAGCTCAAATATTATTAATCCTTGAAGTTTGATTCAAATTTTTGCTCAAAGAGAGATCAATTTGAAATAAATAAGCTGAGTTGCGAGCCAAAATTTTGGATCGAATTTTTTTAGTCGACCCCAACTAAGATCGAAATCAAATCATTAACAATATATGATTGTGAATTTAGCGAATTTAGCTTGAAGATCGGAAACTACTGAAAAAATTGATTCAAATTTTGGCTTGGATTGAAATCAGATCGTAATAAAAAAGCCAAACCACGAGCTAAAATTTTGGATCGAATTTTTTTCGAGCTGATATAGAGCCGACCCCAGCTCGACTTGAAATCAAATCATTAACAACCTAAATTAATTTTGAGATCGGCTTTGAGCACATATGCTTTTGTTTTATTTATGAATGTTCTTTCTAAACATTTACAGGAGAATGCACCGTGGTGTATGCTGTTTGTGGGTGATATCCTTCTTATGAAAAAGGTAGGAGTTGAAGACTCAAGAAACTGCTGTCGGCTAGCCCAAAGCAAAATATTCCCTCACTTTATCCTAACGAAGAGCAATTTGTGAGTTGTTCTAATCACTAATATACTCATCTTGAAGTACAACCCTTTATTGAGTAAGACATTTTCCATTATGGTTTTTAACTCATCTATCTGAAAAGTATCATGCTTAACTATTTCAATGATATTTCGTTGTGTGAACAATTCATTTGTTCAATTTAGTTGAAGACGATAAGATGAGTAGGAAGATCGGGACTAACTTCTGTCTCCCTCTCACTTCTCTCCTCACAGACTCTAACTCACATGGCATGTTTCCGAGAAGACAATCTAGTATTCAACATAATAGAAAAAATTTTCTTGAAGAGTAAATAGAGGCCACATGATAATGACAAAGAGAGCCTTATAGAAATATATAAACAATGAGCTACGTAAAATTCAAAGTCAACTGCAGACTTTGAAGATGATTGTTTCATCTCTTTTACTCTTCAAGTGATCAATCATCTGTACACTGCATGAAGGACCACAAATGATATAAAAATAACATAAAAATATTATGCACATTTGATATATATCAATAAGCACTCAAAGGCAGATCCATAACAAAGCTGGCAGATGCAGCTTGTGTTCGCCGCACTTAATTTTACATATATATGGATTCAACCAACACCTCGACTCATAACTTGCATAAAAAAATTGTGCAAAAAAATAAATAAATAATAAAAAAAAGAGCCAAAGTATAAAATGCAAATTTATCAAATTCTTAAAAACTAATTAAAAATAGTTGTAATTGGTTTGTCCGCTTGCAACATTATAATCTAAAATCAAGTTCAAATTAATGAAATAAAATACATTTTTTCATGCAAAAATAATTTGATAGAAATGTAAATAAATAAGAGTTGGGTCTCATGTATGTACGCATTACCAAATAAATATCTAGATTTAAATAAAATTGCCGCCAGAACGGACTGATCTCCTCTGCGCCTTTACCCAGAACCCGTTTCCGTGCACTCCCGAGGACGCTAACCGAATTCCCCCAACCGAGTAAGCGGGAAACGGAGCGGGAAACGGCAATACCCGCATTAATTACCCTCCGTACGACGCCCCCCAATCAATGGCGACTCGTGTGATTTTCGGCTGGCATCGCGAACTGCAACAAACGGTAATTTTACTATGTGGGCGGGACGTTTCCATTTGGAATTTATTTTTTCCAATTACATTTAAAATTTAAAAAAAATTATTTTTTTTGGGTAGAAAAATTGGGGGCATTTACATACATACCACCTAATTCTAGGAAAATTATTCTATCATGACTCTTAACATAGAGAAACATTCGGAGTCCAATGAAGTCACGCACGTAATGGTGACAGTGATGATGACAGTAAAAAAAAATAAAATTGACCCGGTAACACAGGAGAATATTTTTCATGTGTTATTAATGGTGACAGTAAAAAAAAATAAATAAAATTGGTCCGGTAATACAGAAGAATATTTCTCATGTGTTATTCCGTGTTATTCACATGTTATTGTATGTTATTCAATTCTGAGAATATTCTCCGTATTATAATAACACAATAACACTTAAATAACATACAATCTCGGCATTATAACAACATAATAACACTTAAATAGCATACAATAACACCTAAATAACACAGAAGAAATATTCTCTTCTACTACTAGACAAATTTTATTTTTTTTTTCCATCACCACCACGTGGCGTGATTTTATTGAACTCCGAATAATTCTGTATAGTAGGGGTACTGACAAAATAGTTTTCCCTAATTCTATGAATTTACATATCTATCTAAAATTCTAAGCCAAAATCTTTTATATTAGAAAAAATATGGTCATTTTATTTTTTTGAAAGTTTAGCATATTTTTTCATGCATGATATAACAATTGAATATTATGTTATAGAGATGTAAATACAAAAGCAACTAAAACTAAGTTAAGATGCACAGAAACTAATATTAAATTAAGTATTAGAATTTTTAAATTCAGTTTAATTAAAAATTATATTAGAATATTTGGAACAAATTAAATAAATAATAATAATAATAATAATAAAAGAATAGTGCAAACGGCTATGGCGTGTCTTAATGCCAGCTGTATGCAAGCGAGCAACTGCCTGCCTGGAAGAAGCCAATGAATCTGCCCATAACCGGTCATGCAACCGGCTATTACCGGTCATCCTCTCTCCTTATAATAACCCCTTCCCCTTCGTCTCCCAACCCCGTCCCCTCTCCCCTCTTCTTCCTCACCGCTCCCTTCTAACCATCAAAAACTGCTTTTTTCCATTAAAATTTTTAATTTTTCGATATAGTCTGCGTACATAAATAAAGATAGAGACAGAAAGCTTGCCCCTTACCTGATTGACATGGCGGCGAGATGCAGAGATGTAGATCGGATCAAGGGGCCATGGAGTCCCGAGGAAGACGACATGTTACAGAGACTGGTAGTGAAGCACGGGGCGAGAAACTGGTCTTTAATCAGCAAATCGATTCCAGGAAGGTCTGGGAAATCATGCCGGCTACGGTGGTGCAACCAGCTCTCGCCGACGGTGGAGCACCGCCCTTTCACGGCGGACGAAGACAGAACCATCATCACCGCCCACCAGCGCTTCGGGAACAAGTGGGCGACCATCGCGCGAATGCTGAATGGTCGCACGGATAACGCCATTAAGAATCACTGGAACTCCACTCTCAAGCGGAAGTATTCTTCTTCCTCTGCGCCGGAGGAAGAAGAAAGGTTGGTCAAGAGGGCGAATAGTGGCGGGCTGAGTTTCAGTCCAGGGAGCCCGTCGTCGTCTGATCTCAGTGATTCGAGTCATCACAGCCAAGCGTTGATCACGCCGCCGCCGTTGGTGGCTCCAGTATACCGACCGGTGCCGAGAACAGGGTGTATCGTTCCGTCGCAAATCTCGCCGGCGATCGACACTGCGGCTGCGTCGAACTCTAGTGGCAGCGGAAGCAATATGACCGACGATCCCGTTACCTCTCTCACTCTCTCTCTTCCCGGATCGAGTTCGGATCAGTCTGAAGCTTCCGATCACCGCCGTTGTAACCAGAGCGATCTCCTTCTCATGGCACCACCGACTTCGGAAACCGAAAAATTGCAGCTTCCAGCGGCGGCGGCGACGGCGACGGCGGTGGTGCCGTTCAGTAAGGAATTCATGGCGATGATGCAAGAGATGATCCGCCAAGAGGTGAGGAATTTCATGAGTGGGATGGAGCAGAGAGATTGGATGAATATGAACATGAATCAATCGACGGAGAGCTTGCGGAACAGTGTTATTAAGAGGATTGGAATCACGAAGATCGAGTAGAGAAGGAGAAGGATTCAGAAAAGCTAGATCTTGTTTTTGAGAATTGGGAAGGAAATCTCTGCTTCCTGCTTAGGATCACTTTTTAGTTTTTTTTTTTTTTTTTTGGATCAAATCTCTGAGTTTCAGATCTTAATAGATAAATAAGCTGTTTTGGTTGATAGTTTTTTTTAATTTCTTTTTAATGGAAAATGCTGTACAGCAGAACTGAGTTTGAACCGCATTCAAATGAAATAAGGTAACGGTAAAAAAATTTTGAAAAAAAAAATCATCTTTTTTGCTGGTTTTGAATTGAATTTGTGGCTTCAGAAAATTTAAATCTTGATTCTTTTTAAGAAATTGTTTCTTTGGATGATCGTATTTATATTCTCTGTTTGGAGATTACTGAAACTGTGTTGAAGAAGATGATCTCTTACGGCAGGTAGCAACTTACAGACGTAACTGATTTCTGATATTTTATCAGAATAAATTATTGAAAAACGTTTGGTAAATAGAGCTGAATTTTTTAATTTATCTTACCATGCCTTTTAAATTTGTATATAATTATAATTATAACAATTTCAATTTTCTCAGAATATTAAATGTTTTAACGGTCGAAATATCGCTTTCCATTTTCGAACAAACAACCCATATATTTGAAACTAGAAAGAATTCCTTGGTAATATTTTTTAAAATTTATAATCTTTTGACACAATATTTAGAAAATTAGGTATATTTAATGCGTTAAGGTTAATATTAAAAATTAAAATATCACAATATTTGGAGCATTTACATCTAACAACTCCTTATATAGCACTTATTTTCAAGTATTTACATGCCTAACTCCTTTTAATTTTTACATCCACATCTATGTTTGAACAGATGCGGTTTCACTTAAAACATTAATAGTAAAAAATAGGTGCTAAATATGTAAATATATAGCATTTGAAGGTACGAAAATAAATGCTTCTTTTTAAAATGTAAAATAGACCTTCTCGAGTGCTATAAGTGTAAATAAATATCAGAATTGTTTGGCTATGTATGTAAATAATTTTTGTTTTATATTAAAAAAAAATAATTAAAAGAGAAAATAAAGAATGAAGTTAATGTTTCTGGGCACGGTGGTTACATGAAATGAAAAGGATATTAAAAGCATTTGGAGCAGTTATGGATAAAATAATAAATATTAAAATAGGGGTGGGACGAATATGAGCTGGCATCATTTAAGCCCAATCCCTACGGTCAGAATATTATGAATTTTTGAGAAACGTCTGATTTCAAATTGTTGGTCGTGTCCAATTTTCAAATGTTGAATCAATGAGGTGTGATGTACCTAAAATCACTTGAGAGTTAGAAGCTTTTAAATATTACTTTTCTCTTTTTTTTACTACCTATATAACATAAAATATCTCATAAGAATGATAAAAAAAATGCATGCAGTTTGGACGACCCATAGTTTGGACGATCGATTAGACTGGAGGGCCGACCCTGTTCAGCCTATCGAGCTGACCCTACCAACCCGAACCCAATTGAGTGTAACCAGCCAAGTTAAAAAGCAGTTGTACGACAAGCTTATACATGTAAAATATCAGTAGTACTCATGCGATGCTTCAATTAAAATAGAGACAAAAATGTTAGTTTAGATATTGTAACTTCTTTCCGATAAATAGGTAATCATTTTGAGAATAAACAGGTTGGAAAGGGTCGTGAAGACCATAGGTCTGTAATTACTTCATATTAATGTTCATTTTAGTGAACACTATTCTCTGTATCTCTCTTTCATCTTTCTTACATTATTCTCTTGAGATGTAATTCACAGACAAATTTAAGTTCCAAGATTTTCAGAGTCCAAATGAGAAAAATTATAGAGTGAGTTGAGCAACAACTTTACTATCCTATTATTGATCTTTATCATTTTAAAATTGAAGAGTTTATTTGATTTGAGTTGGTCGTTTTATTAGAAATATAAGATTTATATCGCAACAATATTAGATTGTGAAATAGCCTTAAAAAATGTTGTAAAAATTATATTGTTTTATTTTTATAAAAAAAAAGGTAAGTTAATGAGAAAAAAATATATAATATTTTTAAATTGAAGTGAAACAAAATAACAATTTGAAATAGAAATTTATTATGGTAAGTTATTAAAAATAATGACCTTTTTTTATTTAAAAATAAAATAGCATTCTAACTATTAATACTTAGAAAGCATACTAATCAACAATAACGGTTGTATTTCAATGTTTAGCTCAATTACTTGCTTTTTTAGTTATTATTACCTTAAATAGGAGTAATTGTAACTTTATGTCCATTAATTTTTAGCTAAATACTATATATCTCCTACAATTCAACAAAATATTAAATATTTTTGCTATTTTTTTCATTAGCATTTTATTAATTAAATGTTTTTTTAAAAAAATCGCCTAAAAATGTGATAATTCATAAATATACCTTCCAATGATCCAACCGTACAAAACAAACAAATAATTTTAGATAACCTTCCCAAAACTCTTACTTTAATTTATTTATTTATTTATATCATGATCCGATGCCAAAATTCAAACACACAAATACGATTCTCGGTGTAATTTTTTTATTCTGAAATAAGGCAAAAATTGAGCTTGTAATTTTTAAAAATAAAACTTTTTTTTTATGACAGAAAATTTATGTTTATTAGACATGAGGATGAATGGGCAAAATAACATTTACCCTCATAATTAGATAATAGCTAAGTATAAAAAATTCTATGGCAAATCAACCCCTTAATAAATACAAGTGTAAACAATTAAAATCAACCAACATATATGCTATTTTGACCATTAATTATTGAACTAAGGTAAAATGACACTTTTGTAATGTTGTATCGCTCACGTACCACATCTCACCTACCTCCCACCTACCTCCCACCTACCACTCTCTTGCTTCTATAAATAGAGAGGGTGTGAGGCTTAGGAGAGCAAAGGAAGAGATCTTAAGCTACCACAAAGCTACCAAGAATAACTAGAGAGCTAGAGAGGATGAGAGCAGCTAGAGAGGAGGAGAAGAGAGGAGGAGAGCATCTTGAGGCCTTGTAACAAGGTGACGCTTGAGAGGGAGACCATAGAAGGAAGATGAGAGTTTATCTCTATGTACAAGCTATGTATTTTTCATTTCTTTTGTCTTAGTGAACTATTTGATTGATTCCCTCTCGTGGACGTAGATCCAGCTGGATAGAACCACACGATCTCTGTTTGCTTGCTTGTGTTCTTTGCGTTTCATTTATATGTCAGGAAGTACATATCTCACAACAATATACTTCTCACCCTTTTAGTGGCATCAAAAAAAGATGTTATTGGATGTGAAAAGCAAAAAATGCAGTTAAATTTTAAATATGTGACAAGAAAAGTGTAAAAAGAATAGGGACATCCAATTTCTCCACATCAATGAATAAATATTGTCTCTTTCTTATGTTTTAATCTCTCTTGTTAAAAGGAGGGCTAAGAATTCTCATCTTAAACTTCCACTACCTTCTTGTTGTTGTCATGACAATATTCTCTTTTCATAATAATTTCCATGTTCTCGCAATTTCGAGTTATCATTACGGTTTCATGGTCACATATCCATTATCAACACCATTTGTTGTTGCTGAAGGAGCACAAATCGATTAGCCAAGTCACTAGAGGTTTCTCCACCCTTAAGTTTTTGAATATTCTAAGGGTAAAGAAAGGTTCCTCTATCCACTTGCAACACTTATCTTCAACACAATCATTAGAGCTTAACTTTGTAGTGATGTATCTATCGCTCGCCTTGGTAGAAAGCTTCCCGGCCTCGGGTCACATTCGTTGGCATTCAACTCATAGATCTTATGCATTACTCTAAGGCATTTCTTCAATTCATCTCAACCATAATTTCCTCACCTCCTCTCAACACTTTGGATTCTTTAGATGTTTTTCATAGCCTCTGCATCAATGAGTCAACTAATCTTCTAACTAATATTATAGATCGTATAGTCTCCCCCTCCTTTTTTCGACAAAAACTTCTTGAATCACATTCAATCGTCTAACACTAATCATCATCTAACGTCCACCACCTGTCGATACTAGTTATCACTTCATCATAATAGGATGCCCACCGTCATATGACGCCCACAATCACCTAGCATATATCACTATCCAAAACCCATCATCAACTCATGCCCACAGTCATTCCGCATCAACCCTTCCCTAAAACCATCAAAGATAATCCCTTTACTTCTGAAATCTCATAATTTTTTACTCAAATCTTCTTAGACTCACGAAGAAATAGTCCTTTTGTAAGCTCAAATTATAACTAGTAGAAATTATGATTCATCCTTCTCAGATTTTCACATAAAAACTCAAGTATCTTCCATGCAACGATTTATGCTATAAGTTTGTTTAAAACATCGTTCAACGCTAAAACAACACTCGAATGTTGCGATCCATTCGCTTGCGTAATTGACTGATTAAAAATAATAAACATTTATATTTTCAACATCAAAATAACAAAAGCTACAAGAAATTAAACACCATTAAACTAAACAATATAGAACTAACAGTTTTATTAAAATAATAATATGATCTATACAGCATAACATGCGTGATGCAAATCTGTAGACAAAGAGATCCGCAACGACCAAACACGTAGGTAGTAAAAACAATATATAAATGTGATGAAAGGGGAATAATAATGACATGATGCTGAACATAAAAAATAAAAAAAATAACAACTTACTTGATATGCTGTTGGATGCCAGCTTTCATGAAAATGTCTTTCCTGCTTTATTATATCTGTACATATATTTTTTTAATTTGCGTGTACAAACTGTCTCCTTCAGGCTTTGGAACTGGAAGCAGCAAGCAAGCAACGCTATTTTGTGTGAGGTGGGCCGTTGATTTATTTGGTTGGAAGATTCGTTGGAGGGGTCGTTGTTGGGCGGCGAGTGAGGGGTTAGGCTTTGTTCCACGCCCGATTCAATGCATTGAAGACGTAGACAGCCACCAACTGAACCCGGTTCAGCCCTATCCAACCAACACTTTAATAACGACCTTTCCCCTAACTTTGAAACCCTCAAATTTCATGATTTATATATCTTTAAGGCCTTCCACTCCATTTCTTTTCCATCTCTCTCTCTCTCTCTCTCTCTCTCTCTCTCTCTCTTATATATATTAAATGAAATGAATACCGGAGGCTATTAGATGGCTATTAGATGACCCTGGCCATCCATAGTTGTGCTAAATATTCGAGTACCACACCCCATATAAGGGAGGATTTGAACCCGTGACTTGAGCGGACTTACAACCTTCAGAGAGACTGCTCTACCTGTGCACGCGCGCACACACATAGAGCATTTTACTTATGAATGAAAATGTGGATTTACCTATTAAAAAGTGATAATTAGTGTGAGTTTTTATGTGATACGGAACTATTGAGGCTATGCATGTAAATATGAAAGTTTTGGTGTGAGATAGGTAAATCCTTAAGAATTAAGTGCTGTGAGTGTAAATGCCCCAAATTAAAATCATGCCTTATTATGAAAAATTTAATCTAGACTTTGCATAGAAAAAAAAATTGTGTTTACATACATACCACCCAATTCCTATGTATTTACATATCAAACAACTAAATTTTATTTTTTGCATGCACAACACCCATATCTTTCATTTCATATAAAAAATGCCACTATTTTAACTTTTAAGAAGTGAAATACACATTTTCATGTATAGATATGATGAAGTGTAAAAATTGAAGTTTAAGTGTTATATAGCCAAATAAATAGGAAGATTTACATACATACAACGCAATTCCTTTGTATTTATATATCCAACACTTCAAAATTCAAGTTTTACATGTCTCGCCTTACCTATGGATGAAAAAGTGAATTTCATTCTTTTTAAGTTAAAAATGATGATATTTTTTTTATGTTATAGTTGCATAAATGTAACAAGAAAAATTTAGAAGTTCGATATGTAAATACACAAAAATTGGGTGGGTATGTATGTAAATGTCCAAAAAAAATTGAAAAGAGTTGAATCACAAAAAATGTACTCTTAACTTCAGCAATGGCAGTTAAAGCTCACAACCACAAGACTAGAGATATTCCAATAATTTAAAGCATGCAATATTTTATTTAGTTGTTCATATCTCAATAAATTATTGCACTTTGTCAAACTTGTGGATCAATGATTGAGGATTTTCGGCTCCACGATGACTTGGGCATGAATGGATGAAATAATATGTAATATTGTGATTAAATTTGCTAAAAAATTTAAAAAAAAGATTCTGGAATACCACCAAACTTTGAGTCAACATCAATGTGTCAAGATATGCTGTCGAAGCACCGTCAATTTTGTTGAACATCACCTATCAATGAACAAAGCCTTAATTAGGTTTAGCACAATAATATTTTTAGAAAAAATTTGGATCTTAGCGGATCATAAATTTGGTGGCCGTTTTCTTAATGAATGCAATATAAGAAAATGATTGATTAATTATGAACATATCTCAAAGTAAACTCAACGGCTTTAAAATTTATTTTGATTGCCTAACTTTAAGGCAGAAATATATGAATGATTGGTAAAAGCATGAGCAAAATAAGTGAGATGTTAAATAAATCATAACAGCAAACCTTCAGGAGAATTGTGCTGCTGCTACTGTGAGAAATTAAAAAAAAGGAACAATTTCTTCTACAAATACATTGCTAAAAATATTGAAATTATGACGGCTATTTTTCAAAAACATCAAAATCAAAACATAGAGATAATTACATGCAGAGCACTTTGCTATTTAAAAACCAAACATCCAGGTGATTTTTAAACTACCAAACAGTTGTTTTTACACGTGCCACAATTAAATCATTCAAAATTTAATAAAAAATGAAACCTATGAGTTAGGATTTTATCGTAAATTTTGATATTTGAGTGTGAATGTGAAAAATGGATGAAAGCCGGTGCTAGATCTGTAAATAGAGATTGTTTCAAGTGTTATGTATAATGCATGTAACCGTCCTATTTTAAAAATTAAAATAACATACAAGGCCTGTGAAAATTTTGGCATAATTTTCTCTTCAATTAGGAGATCCAAGTTCGAATCAGACTCTCATCACCAACTCTTTATTTTATTGCGAATAAATCTAAACCTTCCAAAAATAAATAAAGCAACCAAAATAATTCGAAAGGAAAAAAAATATTAGAAAAAAAAAAACAGTTCGCAAGAGTTGTGCAAGTGGAAAGATATGAGAAAGACATGAGAAAGGCACTGACGTGTGTATAACCCGTGCTTTAATTGAGCGCTGTTCATATGACTAACGTATACCTTCAGAGTAGACTGATGGGGACAACACAACGGCTGATGTTTTTCCAATATCTACAAGAGTTTATAAATAAATAATAGTAATAATAATAATAATTAATAAAGAAAATATCTTGTAAAATGAAGATTTAGAGGTGTGGTCCCCACATAACCCAGGCTGAATGATGCTGCCGACATTGTAAAGAATGTGGCTCTTGTGGTGAAATAGCTGTAACAGTTAATAGGAACATTTCAGCGTATCGATTGATGGTCATATGATTCCAATCTGTAGGTACATGAGATCCTGTTCTACAGAAAGGTTTTACATGTGTGAGACAGAGAATCAAAATGGAATGAAAGAAGTAAATTTTCTTTTAAAAAAAAATGTATATTAAATTTATTTTAAAAGTAATGGATTAAAAAATTTGACTGTTAGTGGCTGCTGATAAATTTTTGTAAGATTTATTTACATACAACTCAGATTCATAACCATTTGCAGATCAAACATCATAAATTCAATTTTTACATATATATTATCTTATTTATATATGTGTACATCAAATATGCGCCTGCATGAATATCAAAAAAAACCAATGGATAAAAAATACAAAAGAATACAGCTAAGGAGAGCCCACAGATGAATAACAAGGGCCCACAAAAGGGAGGCTAAGAGCCCATGAGCGGAAGACTGAAGGTTCATGGACGGAAGACTAAGCGCAGCACCAAAAGACTTATACTAATGGAATACTGAAAAATCTGTTTGACCAGGTACAAACCCCTTAAGTAGGGGTTGAAGGCCGACCGTTCGAAAGTCTTCCGAACCAAAGACTAAAGTCTATCGAACGGAGCGGAGGCAACGACCTGTCCCTAGTCATAACCAGACTCAAGGGAAGAATGCAACATCCCCAACAATCTCACAGGCGCCCAAGAGATCCTAATCCTGAGCCAAGAGCTAGTCACCACAAAACCACATGGAGCATCTCTAAAAAAATCACCTCGTCGAGGAGTAAGCTACTCGCGGATAACAGTGACTCACCATCTACCCGATAGTCTAGCCATACTCTAGCGACAGAAGTTCCTTATACAAGAATGAATAATTACCAACCAGACTAGTATGACCGAACGATAAAGACTTAGCTGATCGACAAAGACCAAGCCAACAAAATCAAGTATCATAGACCCGAAAAACATCAAGGGCCTACCGACAATCCTGATTCAGCACAGTCGGATGAATAAGTTAACCGACCGAGTTACAGGGTGGCTGAACCGAAGGCTTGTATATGTACAATACCTAAAACATCCCGCAACACCCCCATTCAAGCAATTATATATATTGTACCCTCATCTTCTATAAATAGGAGGATTGTTTCCTCAAAAAGACAAATCAAGAATTAAAATCATTCTCCATTATTTCTCCCTCTCTCCCTCCCTCCCTCCCTCTTACGTCTTATGTGTTATTCCTTGAGTGTGATTTACGAACAGAGAATAATTCAACAATATGAAATGGTGTATTTCATTTCTTAAAAAGTTAAAATAATGGCATTTTTTATGTGATATGATGATTTGGGTGGTATGAATGATTTGGGTGGTACAAATGTAAAAACTAAGGTTTAAATGCTAGATATGTAAATATAAGTAGTTAAATGCCCCTAAATTTAGATTACTACTAGCAAATATCATTGTACTGGACTTCAAATACCAATTATAAAATAATATAAACATGATTTACTTGAGAAATAGCTGGGATTAGCCATTTTGATTGCAAATTTATATCACATACCAAAAATATTTATCATGCAAGTTTTCTCAAATTATAACAGCATATTTATAGATAATATAGATAATAATCTTAAATTTCTTCATGGAATGTAAACATGATTTTTGTCAAAATTAAAATAAGGTATAAATAAAATAAAACATTATCAAAGTAGAAATCAAAAGGCAATGATACTAATAATGACGCCAATTAATCAATTCGTTTACTTTGACTAGTCATTCATTTAAGTCAACGCTGTTGATTTCTAATATTAAATTGCTGATAAATACTGAGAACAGACTTGCATTTAAAACATAGTAATAAAGCTGAAATTTATGATAACTAGTATATATTATATATGTTTTCATGCAAATGTTGTGATATAATTTAATGAGCATTTAAGGATATGTTGACCTCGTTATCACTATTCAATACTGTGATATTTGAATGTGCTAAGATTTGACCTAATCAACTTGGTTTGAGATCCAAAAAAAAGGGGAGTAATTGCATGTGGAATAACCAACTGTGCATACTATAAAGGCTATTCTGAGCTGCCCAAACAGCATAAAATAGCTCCCAAGAAAATCCTCTAAAATTTTCATCTCTTCCCTCAGGTGATCTCAAAAGAGGTCATTCATGGCCTTGAGACCCTCACTTGGCCACTTAAATTTTGACTTCTGTAACCATTTGGCATCAATTGTAACGAAAATGATAGACAACGGGTGCAATGTTATACATATATGGTTAAAATGCCTCGAACAAAATCAGAATCATATGAACGTCGCTCATTGGCAAACTAACAATGCAGATGCATACAGATTATTAAAAGTATTTTAGGACACTCATATTGCCCGGATTGTCACGATGAAGATTCACAAAATTTGCTCTCATTTGGGGAGTTTTTGGTATGATACTTTTAAGAGGACTTAAGTTAGACTTAACTTAAATCCAACCAAAAACAATAACTAGGTTAGATAAATCCGCGGTTAGTTATATCCATTTTTGCTTGTTCGTTTCTTAAATCTACTTAATAGTTAAATTTAATGAATTTAGCACAGGAAAAAATATTTCAAATATATTTATGCTAAACACCTCAAACAAATTTAACTGGAATTAACCTTAATTGAACCAAAGAATATTTTGAATTTAATGATATTTAGATTTAATAAATCCTAGATTTACTAAATCCTATTTAACTTGAATCCTCAATGCAGCCAAACAACCCCTTGAGGTGACGACATAAAATAATGAGGGAGAAAATTCAAATAAAGAGCCAATTAATTCCTTTTTATCTAATCAAATTTAAATAAAAAGAAGTCTAAATCTTATCCAATGCATCCCGTAAATCTTAGTTATCGTGGCTTTATAATCATTCCATATTACCCATCTTGCTTTGCCAATTTAATCGCTATTAAAAAAAATTACATTTTGATTTCACCTCAAGCAATTCTCAGTGTCGCTCAAACTCGATGTTCTCTCAATCTCATCATCTACTCCTTCTAGCCCTGCCAACCAACTACATACATATCTTCATCTCCTTCCCGCACGCCCGTCAACCTCTTGCCCTACTCCTTCGCCGTAGACAACCTCAACCCAACCACCAGAGGCCGAATCAACTCCTTCTAAGATGGCCAAAATTTTAAATATTTAAATAATATAATAATTAAATAATGATAATATATATATATATATATATATATATATATACAAATAAAAAAAAACACAAAAAACTAGCAAGATAATATCATTAAATTTATAATTGAAATATATATATGGATAAAAATGTAAAAATTTAGAAATATGTAAGGAGTGGTGTTGAGAAATGGGCAAACTTATAAATTAAGGGTGGGGGCACTCACATTAACGTAGTTCTGCCTCTATCAACCACGCTATCTTTCTCTTTCTCACAGCTCAACCGCTTTAAGAGACTCTTGTATGCTCCCTAACCCACAACTTCCTCCTTTACTTCCTTCCCAATGCTTCATGCAATACTGCATAAATCGGGCTTGAAATGCCTGAATTGCAAATAAAATCATTTGAACACCACTTGTTCTTAAAAGGCGATTGCATCACGCATTTAGAACGTTGAAATTATTAGAAAAATGCCCTCACAATTGATCCAATTGAATTTAACGAACACAAAGGATAATGGAAACCACATCACGTAAATCAAAACAGAAATGCCTCAACTGCTGTAAAAAATGCCCAAACATCATACATTCCTAAAACTGATTATGCTAACGCGTTTGAACGTCAAAAGTTTCCAAGAGAGCGTTCACAATATCTAAATCGGTATGCAATGAAAAAAAGATAAAAAAATTTATCCAAAATTTCGTAAATATCACAAAATGAACTACATGGATGCTTCCACAAAGTCAAAATCATTAAGAAAGGACCCTTGTTATTGATTCGATCAAATATGATCAAGATCAATGGATACTGGAAGTGACATTGCGTAAATCAGGTTTGGAATGTTTGGATCACAATCGAAATAGCTCAAATATTGTCTTATTTACAAAATGAATTACACCGACACAACTGAAATGTTAAAAACTCCCATAAATAAATTGTACTCAATTTTTTCTTCACCTTAAAAAACAAATTCTATAAGCTATATTCAAATATGCGAAATTGAATCTTAGCATGTCTAACACAATAAATGCTCGATAAATCCGCTAACACAATAAATGCTCGAACATTGGGTCAGAAAATCCAACAAAAACTAAAAGATGAGAAATTGAAGTTTGCTCTATTTTGAGGAACTTGCAAAAATTATAAAAATTCAAACTCCTCACTTTGAAGCTTGAATTCAAGCCATCATCATATTTTATGCTCGATCACAAAAGAGTCGCCTTGCTTGTGGGTTAAAATCATAAGTTCCACGTATTAATTCCAGTTCTCCTTGTTCCTAAGACTAGAGTAGACAACCCTTAAGACTGAATAAATTCCTATATGATAAGCTTAAGATGATAAGAGATCAAATTTAAATATATATAAAGTCATCAAGTGGCATGAATCCGGATGAGTTCATCGAGTGACTCCAAACAATGGAACGGGTCTTTGAGTACAAGAATGTTTCTACTGACACAAGGATCCAAATAGTGGTTATCAAGTTAAGGAATAATGTTACATTATGGTGAGAGAATTTGAAGCGTCTATTGCAAATATAAGGAAAAGTACAAAAATCACTGTTTGGTCTAAAACATATTTTCGAGACTTCAAAATTTACAATAGCAAGATCTCCCAGTAGAAGAGTACACTATTGAGTTCGAGTAGCTTCTATTGAAGTATGATCTAGCAAAACTCGAGGAGAATATCATAGTTCAATATCTTAGGAGATTGAGACTGTCCATTGAAAAAGTTGTACGATTACAACCTTATTAGGCATTACAAAATATTCAGACCTTAGCCCTAAAGGTGTAAAGACAACACAAACAATATCAGGTCCACAACAAACTTCAAAAGAATTCAGCTGTCGAATTGGACAATAAGAGTGATAGGAAATATAGCGAAGAACAATTCTCAAATTTACCGGGGCTTAGAATCAATTAAAAACTAAATTACACCGCAGAATAACAGGACCACACTAATTAAAGAAAATCGTAACAAAATAAATAGAAAGTACAATCAAAGGAACTAGAAAAGCACAAGAGAATTTTACGTGGAAAAACCCGAGAACGGGAAAAAACACGGAGCCACACCTATAAAATTCAAAAGGTTTTACAAACAACTCACACAAGTTTTCTCTCAACACACAGAAAACTTGTAAAACTCGCTCCACAATCTTCCCTCTCAGATCCAATGCAAAATCACGTTGAATCACTGCATCAACACGCGTCACCTTCACCGAGATGCTTGTCAAAGAATTCAAAAGAAAGAAACTCAAAGCGCCGCAAAAACTGCTCAAAATCGGGATTAAAAAAAAATCTCAAAAGAAAACTGCCCAGGGTGCTTAGGCGCCGGGACTTAGGAGCCAAGGCGCCAAGCCCTCTGTTCTGCACCCAATAATGGGCGCCTAGACGCCAATAGGCGTCGATCTCTCGGGAATAAGAGCAACGCTTGCTCTTATGGAGCGCTTAAGCGCCCATGACTGGCGCCAATCTTAAAACCGCTTGGAATGATATGGCTCCACACACACCGTAAACAATGTCCCACCAAGCACCGGTCCTTTGTAACTGCATCTCCATCTGAATAGTCTTTATAGACATGTATTGTGGTCACATTCTATTGTGTGGCTCACTCCCGATCTCAACCTTCATGAAACCCAACTGAAGGCAAGCATTGCTTCAGTTTCTCAATAATCACAACCTTCATCAACATATCCGCATGATCTGAGTTGTATGTATCTTCTCCCGAAACAACTGCCCATCTTCAAGAAGAGAGCGAATGAAATGATGCCTCAGCTGGCATGAAAAACAACATTCTTAGCAAGATGAATCGTACTCATACTTTCACTGTAAAGTTTTCTAATTCCCTGCTCCTTGCCCAATTCTACAATAAAGTTTTGTAGCCAAATCATTTCATTGCTAGTCTCAGTGATAACAATATATTCGACCTCAGTAGTTAAGAAGTGCAACGATCTTCTGCAATCTGGAAACACAACTCATTGTTGTGTTCCCCAATATAAAGATATACCCCGTTGTACTTCTCCTACTATCCACATCTCCTACCAGATCTGAATATCTGAATCCCTATAGACTAATCCCTACATTTTTATAACAAAGTACCCTATTGATTGTTCTTCTCAAATGTCTTAGAATCCACTTTACCACCTCCTACTGATATTTGTCTGGATTGCTAATGTATCTACTGACCATTATCACTGTATATGCAATATCTGGTCTCGTACAAATCATCACATACATCAGACTTCTAACTGTTGAAGCATACGGAGTTCTCTCCGTCTGCGCTTGCTCTGCTTCAGAGATAGACGATAACTCCTTAAAAAGTTTGAAGTGACTACCTGAGAGTATTATCAAGTTTCGCCTCAATCATGTTGAACCTTTATAGGATCTTCTCAACGTACTCTGTCTGAGACAACTTAAGTGTTGTTGTACTCCTGTCCCTGCTGATTTCATCCTGAGGATCTTCTTGGTTGGACCTAAATCCTGCATCTCGAACTCACTTGATAACTGATTCTTCAAGTTCTTACTTTTTTCTATTCCTGCTCCTGCAAATAGCATGTCATCCACGTATAAAAGAAGTAAAATATAACAATTACTGAAATATTTAATAAAACAACAGTGGTTTGTCTGACACTTCATGTACTTATTGTCTGACATGAATCTGTCAAACCTTCTGTACCATTGTCTTGGGGCTTACTTCAATCTGCAGACCAAACATTCTTTGTTTGGAACCATGTAACCATGTGGTTGCACCATGTATAGTTCTTCCTCCAAATCTCCATGTAAGAAAATTGTTTTTACATCCATCAATTTCAGATGTAGATCTTTGTATGCTACCAAACTCAGCACAACCCTGACAGTCGTCACTTCGCCCTAGTCATTATGGATTGACAATAGATTTTAACAAATCATTTGACCAGAATGATGAGTAAATGAAACACAGAAGGAAAATCATTACATTAAAAAATTAAAAACAGATTAAAATCATTTTCACATTCTCACACTGTCATACATCCTACCACATCACCACTGGGAGGAAGATTTATGTATAATCCACTCCTTCCTTCTGATTGAAACATTTCACAACAAATCTTGTCTTGTAGCGTTGCTACCATCTGACTCCTCTTTTAGCTTGTAAACCAACTTGTGTAGTGTTTTTTTGTCATTTGGTAGTACCGTTAAATCCCAAGTCTGATTTGACTCCAAAGATTGCATTTCTTCATCCATGGCTAGCTCCCACTCCTTTGAATCTTCAAATTGGGTGGCCTCCTCAAAGCACTCTGGTTCACCACTATCAGTTAGCAATGAATAGTGTAAAGAAGGAAAACATCTTTGTATTGATTGTTTCACTCTATTGGATCTCCTCACTTCTGTAGCAGGCGACTGGGAAACTTCCAGTGCTCCTTCCAGTTGAGCACTTGTTCTTTCTCTATCTTACTGATCACCAGTATCATATATCTCCATATATCTGGATTCTTCAGAAGAAGCTGATAGAATATCATAAGTTCTAATCTTGTCTTTATATATCTCCATTTTGTTGAATGTGACGTCTCTGCTCCTAATGAATTTTTTATTCTGATAATCCAAGAACTTGTACCTCGAGTCATATCCAATAAAGGTGTGCATGACAGATTTCGAGTCAAGCATGCTTCTAGACCCTGCATCAATATGCACATATGCAGAACACCCAAAAATTTTTAAGTGAGATAAACATACATTTTTGTCACTCCATGCTTTTTCAGGTAATCTTTCCTTCAAAGGTACTGATGGACTACGGTTTATCAGATAAACTGCAGAGTTAACTGCTTCATCCTAGTACCGTTTTGGCAAGTCTGCATACTTCATACAGCCTCACACTACTAGCACGCTCTATGATTGTTTTGTTCATGCGCTCAGTCACATCATTCTCTGCGGCGTCCTTGGGACATTGAACTCATGTCTGACCCCCTCTGTAGCACAGAAATTCCTGAACTTCTGATCACAACACTCGCTCCCATTATCTAATTTGAGACACTTCAGCTTCAAGTCTGTCTCATTTTTTATCATAGTCTTCCAGTTTTTAAAGACTTCACATACATCAGATTTTTGTTTTAAGAAATAAACTCATACATTTCTCGTGTGATCATCAATGAACGTGAAAACATAGTGAGAACCTTCAATGGATTGAACTGGAATAGTACCTCATACATCAATATGCACTAACTACAGTTTTTTTTATTTCACCACTGACCCGCTCTTAGAGAAAGAAACGTCTTCTGCTTGTCCTATATACAGTCTTCACAAAAATCCAAATCTTAAAGCTTATTCTTTGAAAATAGAGATTTCATACCTTTCTCATTCATATTAACAAACCTACGATGCCACAAACCTGCATCTACCTTGGTTCCAAT